TAATGAGCGATTTTCCACAAAGAAAAATGCCCCCACGTGGCTGTCATTAACTTGGCCCCCGAAAATAAAAAACCTGGCCCACAAACGAAGTCAGTAAAACTTGCAACACTTGCACAAAGTTTTCAAGAACTTCGCAATGAACTCGATAAAATGGCCAAATCATGGTGGGATTTCAGAACATCCTCGACACGATTACCACAGCAGTCATAAAGGCAAATGATGGCTAAATAAAAATGGTAAACTACAGTTGCCAACTCATGCAAACCTCTAGTCTTGCCTTGTCTTGTCTCTGCCCGGCCAGCTTTTAAATTACGCCTCCACTTGGCCCGAGGTCAGAGGTCAGGGGTAGGGGTATATAGCAAGTGCCACATGGCCACAGAAGGGGGCTCCAAGTCGGGTGGCTGCTGCTGCGGTCTGTCCTGCCAAGACAAACTTTAACTTCAGGAAAACTTTGGTTTCTGCCAACATGTTGTGGCTCGAAAAATGTCGTCAGCAAGAAAACTTGGCTAGAACGTTGAGTTTTGCAATCGGTTTAAATTGTTTGGTCAAGATAAGGAAATGTGATGTTAATTTTTGAACAGCATTTGTTATTAATATACATTAAATTTTATATCAAATTTTGAAGCATTAAAAATTGGTTAGATACCTTTGTTCTTTTTAGATTTTTATTATTAGCTTGCAAAGAATTTGTGAAAATAAAACTATAAAAGTCTGTGAAGATTCATTTCAATTTGAAGACTCTTTTTACTATATATTTTTCCTAAACTTTCGGCTTAGCAACTCCCCATATATACACGTTTTTTTATCATACTGCGAATGGTAAATCCTTTTTCGTACATCATGCATTGATAAATATCCTTTTTCCCTTTTCCCTCTTAGCAAAAAGCATTTCGTTTAATCCTTTGTGCATATTAAAGCTAACGAAATTAATTCCGCGTTTATTTTTCCGGGCTTTTACTGGCAAGAAGGGATTTTCAGCTAACGCTGAGTGGCGCATAAGTGAAGTCGCTAAATAAATCAGTTTATGCAACTTCAAAAATGGAGTTTGTAATGCAAATCCCCTTTTTCGCCAAGCGGGAAAGCATTTTCCAGGAGCTCACGCTTTCCTCCTTTCTCGGCACTTTGAGCACTAAAGAGACCGTGGGGAGAAATTAAGACAATAGTCGATCCGCTTCGACGCTTCGAGCACTTGAAGCGCAGCATCTTAACGCAGCCGGAAAAATCTTTACCCCATTTTCCCGACCGAGACTTTGACATCTTCACTTGCATGCGAAATGAAAATCTTGCTTTTTGCTAATTGGCGGATAGACAAACTTAAGTTTCGCCAATGAGATTAGCCCGGGCTTCAAACTTTTTAAGTTGTCTTTAAGTTGAGTGCAACTTTCAGGCAAAACTATGAACTTGTTCACAAAGTTGAAATTATTTTGTTTTTACGAAGCATTCAAATATTCATAAATAAATGGGTGCGAACAGGAGGGGGTAGAAAATTGGTCTGGAAAAAGTGGAAAAACTTTTAGTTGTGAAAATGTTTATCTGCAAACTTGTTAAACTTAAATATGCTTATTATTGTTTTTGATAACTGTGAATTGGCAAAAATATATATATTAAATTTGTAATTGGATAGAATTAATACAAATATGGAAATATGGTTTTAATGTAAGGAAAATCAAAAGTAAATTTTGTTTATTTTATAAATTTAAACTATGTATTTTAAATTCCCATTTAAACTAGTCTGGCTTACTTTTTCGCTATTATTTTTTTCTTCTAAAAATCTGCACAGATTTTTCCCATCTGTGTAAGCTTTTTCTTTTTAGAAAATCCTCTAGGATATGTCAATATTTCCCTCCCCCAAGACAGAGCGAGCATCGCATCACAGAAAATCTACTTCAGAGCCCCGAGGTCTATCGGAGGGCACAACTAATCCAATAAGTTCCTCCGCACTATCTAATGAGCCATTCTATTTGGCTAACCCTCCCCAGGAGTTGAGCCTGAGCCGGGATTCCCCTCACTAGATAGTTTTCCCTGCCGACATCGTGGAACAAAAAGTTTTCATTGCCCCGCTGCGTTGCGCCGCCTTTTTCCGGCAGAGGCAAAAGTTACATTTAATGAACCATCAGGACACACAACTTCGGGCATCCTGCAGATGGAGAGATGACAGCGAAGGGATAGGAGAGAGAAAGGGTTAAGGGCAAAGATACCCCATGGAAGTTAACTTGCAATTTTGCATGTCGCGCAATTAGGCAAAAGTTAAATTGCTTGTCATAAATGTAAAATTTGTAACACAAAAATTGACTTAAGTGAGTGCAGGAAGGCAAGGCTTGAAATAAATTTAAGCGGCTTTTGAATTTAAATTGCACTCATAAGCATCGTAACTCCTTGAGCTGTAAAAAAGCGCTGAGCCACGCCCCCAACCCCACAAAATGTCCGCCCGCCCATAAAGATTATGAAAAGTCGTAAAAGACCAAAAATATGAATGCGATAGTAGTCATAGTCGTCGTCTGAGAGAGAAAGAGAAAATGTTTGAAATAAAAAAAAATCAAAATAAAATAAAATAGCAGACTCATGCAGAAAAGTCAGCGCCGCTGCCGCCAACATTTGTGACATTTTCCGCTGTCAGCAAGCGGGAAATATTCGGGAGTTCCAAGAGGAGGAAACTGTGATGGGTGAAGCACTTAAATAAAAATTCTTAAAATATTTTCATCATTTTTAAAAAAAATATAAGAAGGGTTTGCTAATAATACATCCATTAAATACCAAAACGTTAGAATTAAAATATATATTTAGATACCAAGTCTCCTATAAATAAATTCTCTAAAACTCAAACTAAACCCATTATTTTGACCCATTTTGACTATACTCAAATTTCTTCAAGTGTTTCTTTGTGGCAACTGCTAAGCTCTAAAGGAAGGCTTAAAATATGCCCCGCTGGCTCAACATTTTGTCATATTTTGCTGCTTAGCCGCTACAAGAAGCTGGCTTCATTATAGACAAGCTTGAACCCCAGGCTGCAGGCTCTTCTCTGCATAAAATATGAAATTAAAACGTGGCCAAAATAAAAAACAAGTGACAGGAAAAGTTAAAAAGCGTTGACAAAAGCGAAAAATAGAAACTAACTAAAACTCGGGACACAACAAATTTTGTTGACTTGTTGGTGGGTTTGGTTTAGTGTGTTGTTCTAAGGCAAAGGGGAGAGGTAATGGCTCTTGGGAAGGACGTAAGTCACACCTGCGTTAGTGGGGTTAAAGTGAAACTTAATGTGTTCAGATTCTGCAGAGACAGAGGCATTTTGCCAGCCCTCCAAAGTCATGGTTAGTTGAACTTTCCATTGTTACCAGACACAGTGGGAATGCTTACAAAATAACTACGGAATTTGTTAAAAATAAATAAAAACAAATTCATTTATTTTCTGCATAATATCTGGGTATTCCCAAGAAAATCTGATTATATTTCTCCTTTAAATCATTGTACAATGCTTATTAGAATAGGAATCTTACAAGTGTTTTACAAATACTCCGACTATTTCACTAAAATTCATTGATATCCTTCCTGACAGTTAGGATATATGTGAGTTACTGGTTATTATCCACTCAGGCACATGGCAATTTTAAATATCGGCGACCATCTGCCTTTTAGAACCAAGTACTGGACCTTGTCAGGTAAGGGCAGCTTTTTCAAAGAACATTTCATACCCTTGATTTCTGAATAGACTGATACTTCACAAACTCCTTTTGCATATGAGAGCTTCTCAGTGGACGAAAGAAGACCCTGTCCGAGAATAATGGCACTGGCAGAGTCGACTGTGGCACTGAGAGATTCTGATCCTGAGTCTAAACTTGCGAAACATGGCCAGGATAAGGAAAATGATGTCTTCATTGACTTCCAGACCGTCATCCGGGAAAACCTCAATTTTTGTTGCAGAAGGTAGCATTTTTGTTTATATCGAAATATGAAAATCTGTTTCTAGTGTATTTGAAATGAAATAAAATCTCCTTCCGAGTTATCTAGCTCCTACAACTGGTTGAGGTTATTTGCTATGATTGCTAGTAATTATATTTAAACAAAAGGGAAAGGCACAAGGCCTACTGTAAGGCTTTCCCATTTATTTTTTGTTAATTTTGTCCGCCTTTCAAGTTGAGTTTTTGGACCGCAGGATAACCAGCTGCTATTTTACTTCTTGCAGATAAGTAAACTTACACACCGGATATGCAAGGGACACAAAAAAACCAGAGATGGCAATAAATTCAAAAGCAAAAGGATATAAGGGACAGGACCTCTTTTTGGTTACGGCTGGAATATCAGATGGTTTACAACCTTTTGTTTATTATGATAGGAGAACCCACCTTACCATTTCAAACACCACTCAAATTAAAGTACCCACAAAAAATGAGATTTTTCGAAATACAACCCAGAGTGACTGGGTCCCGGGGAAAAGCTTTCACCTGCAATTTACCCGGTTGCACTTGCCATAAAACGAAAATTTCATTAGGCCTACAGACCAGCAATAAAAAAAAGGAAGGTTGGGGAAAATAATAGAGCAGGACTTTCACTACGATTAGGGCTTTGGTATTTCTCTTTTTTTTGCAGTACTTTGTATTTTGCCGTAAATTCCGAACCATTTCCATTTTCGCACAGAACGTGACTCCCCCTTTAAAATCCCCCGCCCACAGGCTGGCTTCCGCTTTTCGGTTCGTTTTTCCGGCCGGGGGAAAACTGTAAATAAATTTTATTTTTCGACTCCGCCGGGCAAAAGTGCATAGAAACAGGGTTCGGATTCCAGCGGTTAGAAGAGACCCTAAAAACGAAACTTTATCTGCATTTAGTACATAAATAATCGAGGGCCCTTGGTCCGAGGATATTTCGAAGGTGAAAAGGCTTTTAGCTGCACTCGACGGTATCCTTGCCAATTTGTTTGGGATTGATGGACATGTTTTTGCCTGGCATCTCCGATTAATTTACCACTCTCAGCAGGCTTTGGATTTACAGTCCAGAAAAAATAAAGAATCTGGTTTAATCACTTGCCGCTAAAATGGAGTATTATGTGGATATGAGTTTTACCGAGAATTACCTATTGTCCAAAGAGGAGTTCCACCTTGAAGGAAACATCTCGTTGGACTTTAATGGAATCCAAACCCCAAAGATTAAGGTGAGAGGTGTATTATATTTATGTAATTCCTTATTTTGTGTATTATTTTATAGATTCCTAGTGTAGAATTAGATTTAAAGGATTTCCCTGACCTAAGTCAGCCGTTGCCGGAAGTATCCATTCGCGAGCAACTGCGTCTGACCTCCTTGAACCGCGTCAAAGTCCTCAGCTGGCAGCGAGGTCAACAGAAACATTTCCTGGATATGTGGCAATCCCATTTACCCGGAAATCAAGTTAAGGAATTAAACCATGTAAGTCTAGTAGAGATTAAGTGAGTTATCCTTCTGGAAATCCATTTCCCTCCCGCAGGGAGAGACAAGCGTTGATTGATGGCCATCCAAGGAGTTTTTTCTGCTACAACTTATGACAGATGATTGATATGTACAATTGGCCATTCCAACGATTGATATGTACAATTAACAAAGGAAA